AACCGCTCGATCTGTGGTATGTGGCTGTACGCTACAGCGGCGTGCCAAAGCACTACGAGCTGGTGATTCAGCTTGATGTACCAAACTCCTGCGCTCAAAGTCGACGCGTTGTCGTTGATCGCCAGTGCGTTTTAGTTTTAGTTTTTTTTTTTTAGTTTTTTTTTTCTTCTTCTTCTTCTTCTTCTTCTTCTTCTTCTCTCTCTCTCTCTCTCTCTCTCTCTCTCTCTCTCTCTCTCTCTCTCTCTCTCTCTCTCTCTCTCTCTCTCTCTCTCTCTCTCTCTTTTTTTTTTTTTAGATGTTTTAATGGATTAATGGAAAATTACCCTCTTTTTACCCTACTGATACAAAATTTAATCTCATTTTACAGATGTGAATGGAGACCACTTGTCCAGTGGTGTAACCTCATTCTCCCAACCAAGTAGCATAAGTAGCTATACTGCATACCAACAGCCATCATATCAACCATGGGAACAACCACAGGAAACTCCCACCATGTCTCTAGAACCTGATGAGCCCCAGGTAAACTCTCCTCAAGCAAATCAAGAGGAGGAGCTGCATTTCTCAGATGGGCCTGGTAAAAAGGTAGGAACGGATTGGATGGCTTCTATTTTTACTTTTCTGGTTACAAATTAAACAGAGCCAGTTAGGTGTTTGCACATTTGTATTTTTGAAATATGCTCATTGTGTTCACAAGGTTTAAGGGAAGTAAGATGTATATATGCAAAAGCTTATGAATTTCAGTTTCCATACCCAGAGTGAGCAAATTTCAGAAAAAAAAAACTTTTTTGGGAATCATGGATGTGATACAATTGGAAACTGCATCTTCCATTAAGATCAGTGCAATGAAGAATGCAGGCTGTTTGAACAAATAATTTATGTGCTGAATATCAATTGTGTTTACCTTTATTTTTCTTCTTGTAGGTATGAAACTTAGTTAAACATGCTATTTTTAAAGATTTCTTTAATTTGTAGAGTTATAAGAAATACCATTTAATACAGTATCAGCATTTATTATCATAAAAAAGTGAAGAAATGCAATTAATAGTATTATCCACATGGCCCATTATCACAGAAATGTATGTTTGTTATGGGGTAAATATTTTAAGTATCAGTAAAGAAATAATAAATTTGAACTCTCTCATGATGAATATTCTTGTTTAAAATGGAAATATTGCAATTAACTAAGTAGTTAAGCTAGAAGCTAGAAACATGTAGAGGTGGATGTAGATGACCTTTAGATATGACTGCTTTATCCTATGGACTTTAGGGTGACAAAAACAAGGAGAGAGTGGAAAGCAAGATTGAAAGTCACGGAGCATCTGCAGAGCAGACACCTAAATTTGAAAATAAAATCAAGAGAGTATCCTTCAAGTCTCGGGCTGAGCTGAAGGATGATAGTAAAAATAATGAAGAACAGAAGACTTCCTCCATGCAGCAGACTCATTATGGTGTTGAGGCTAAACCTAGGCCCAGTGCTGTTCATCCCTGTGTTAGTATGGCATCAAGACATAGGCAGTTAGAACAGAATGGATTTTCATTACATTCAGTGCAACATTTCCCTGGTAGAGTTACCACTATGGAAATAATGGCTGCACTACCTGCTAACCATCCTGAACGTGTCCTACCCCCATCACAGCTTCCACACTCTTTCAGTTCTCCTCTGCTCCCCATGTCTTGCAGAATGAGAATTCCTTCAAATCCCATAGTTTTTGGTGGTTCATATCCTATTGATGATCCAATATCTCCTCGGCAGCTAGGTTCTGGTAATATCATGCCTAAGACTGCACTTCCTACCCCACACACATACCAGGTAGATACAATATGTTGCCAAGCTCCTAACCTTTGTGATGAACATGCTAGATTAGGAAGGGACACAGAAATAGCAAGAGCTGAAGCACGCATGCAAGTTGCACAGTGTGTTGATAAGGGTGATGATGATGATAATGATGATGATGATGATGATGATGATGAAAGTGATGAAGAGCCAGCAACTCATTCTAGTAGTCCTGCACCAGTTGCATCTGTTCATAATAGTTCTGATTGTGTGTCTGAACGTGTCTATCATCCTTATCAATCACACAATGCAAACATTGGTGACTGCCAGAGCTGCACTCATAGTCAAGGCAATGATCCTCCTTCATACTCGGCTGTTATCACTTACCCTGTTAATCATAATGTAGAAGATGGTTTCATTCCACTAATAGCAGATGATGGTGATGATTATGACTACCAGGATGAGGAATATGATGAGTTTGGAGGAGATGTGTATGAGTATGAAGATGAAGATAAAGTGACACTACCAGAACCTGACCATGAGACTGGCTATCAATTGCGTCATAGACATCTAAATTCTTCAGTAAGTAGCACAGTTGTGTCAAGTGTCAACAGAATTAGTCCTTCAAAGCCAGCTCTACAACTTCCAACAACATTACAACTACCATCTTCATCACAGCCATCATTGTCAGATGAAGGGACAGAGATAAATTCAATCAAGTCTTTAGGATGTCCATCAGCTGAACCAGCAGGACCTGCATCACAAACTGTTTTAACCACTCCTCCTCTGTTCCAACCACCTCCTCATTCAACACAACAAATGTCGAGTCCACCTCCACTGGGCCCTAACAATCATGTGACTCAGGTATTAATGGGCCCTGTGCACGACATTAATCCACAAGTTATTTAATTTGTAGTTGATCCAGTGTTGAAATATTTTTTCGTTTGGCCTTCAATTCGTGATTGTGCCTTTTTTCCTGAATGTAATTTTTGCTTTTGTTATAATTTTGTTGTTATTGTTAGTTCTCTGTGCACTTTTCTATGTGACTTGTTCTTGTAAAAAATATTAGCATGAGTGCATGAGTTTAAGTAAGAGATTTTGTTATTTTTAATACCAGTAATAATTACTGTGCCTGAAAAGTATTTTGCGAATATCATTCTGTTTTTGTTGTCCTATCATGTTATAATGTAAACTAAGGTGAATTATATTGTAATAACAGTTCAATCAGTAGTGTCTAACTTTTTTTTTATCAATATATGTGTGTGCGTGTGTGGGTGCGTGCGTGCATGCGTGCGTGTATGTGTGCGTGCGTGTGTGAGTGAGTGCATGCGTGTGTGTGTTTGGCGGAATTGAGAGAGAGTGAAGACAATAGAGAGGAGAGAGAGGGAGCAGGGGAGAGGAGGGAGGAGATAGCGGGAGAGAGAGGAGAGACAGTAGATGATATGAGATGGATGATGAAGAGGATAGGAGAGAGGAGAGGAGATAGGATGAGGAGAGTAGATGGAGAGAAGAGAGAGACAGAGAGGAGAAAGAGAGAGAGGAACATGGAGAGAGAGATACAGGAATGAGAGGAAGAGGAGAGGAGACGAGGAGAGAGAGACAGAGAGGAGTAGAGACAGAAGAGAGACAGAGAAACAGATAGACAGGAGATATGAACAGAAGTACAGAGATATACACGATTCCCCGAAGATTCCGAACAGATGAGAGACATAGAGTAGAAGAGAGCGATGAGAGAGGCGAGAGGGAGAGAGATTAGAGAGAGATGGACAGTAGACTAGAGAGAGGATGATGAAGACAGAAGGAGGAGGAGAGAGAGAGAAGGAGAGAGAGGAGATATAGAGAGAAGAGAGAGAGAGAGAGGAGAGAGCTCTAGAGAGAGATAAGAGATGAGATAGATAGAGAAGAGAGGAGAGAGAGAGAGAGGAGAGGATTAGAGATGAGAGGACTGAGAAAAGGAGTAGAGAGATAGAAGAGAGAGAGAGATGAGAGACGAGTAGAGAGATGAGAGAGAGAGAGAGCAAGAGAGAGAGAGAGAGAGAGAGAGATATAGTTGTATATAGATGATAGTATGATATAGAGATATATATAGATGTATATATATTATATATATATATATATATATATATATGATATAGATATGAGAATAGAATAGATAGATATAGAATAAGATATATATATATATAGGAGATAGGATATATAGATATGATATATAGATATAGATATATAATAGTATATGTATATCTATATCCTAGTGATATATATATAGATAGGATATATATATGGAGGATACTATATATTATATAGATATATATATAATATACTTATATATCTATATAGATCATATGAGATAGATAGATATATTATATATAGAGAGATATATATGATGATAGATAGAGGAGATAGATATGAGATATAGTAATAAATATATACTATTATATGATATATATATTAGTGATATATATATAGGCCGTTATATATATATATATATATTATATAGATAGATATATATATATATATATGATATATATAAATATTATATGATATGATATATACCTATATATATGATATATATATATATATCTATGATATATATATATATATTATGATATATATTATTATTTATAGTATCTATATAATGAGATATAATATATTATTTATTATACTATATATATATGATATATATTAGATATATATATAGGATATATATATAGATATATGATATATATATATCTATTATATGATATATATAGATATTATGATATATAGATATGATTATATATAATGATATATATTAGATATGATAATTATATATATGATATATCTATATGATATATATATATATATCATATATATATTATGATATTATATATTATCATATATATATACATATATAGTATATATTATGATATATATATATATATATGATATATATATCTATATATCTATATATATGAATATATATATATGATATGATATATATATATAGAGATGATATATTAGATCTATATATAGATGTATATATATATGATTATATAGAAGTGCATATAATATATAGGATATATATATATATATATATAATATATAAATATATATCTATATATACTGATATATATATATATATGTATATATGATATATAGGATATATATGAATATATGATATATATGATTATATATGATATATTATATATATGAGATATATGAGATATGATTATATATATACTATGAT